TTGTTAAGCATTCTAGAAAGATAGGTAAATATCTGAATGAAAATGGTTGGGGAAAGAGGATCACCTTGTTTAATCCCATGCCCCGTACTAAAATAGCCACGAGATGGGCCATTAATGAGAATGCTATACTTGTTGCAATGGAGCCAAGAGTCAATGAGTTTACAAAACTCTTGAGAAAAACCTCGGGCGTGAAGGATATTCAAAATAAAATCCCAGCTAATGGAGTCATAAGCTTTATGAATATCGAGTTTAGTGATCATCTTACCGCCTCTGCACTTTTTATCGATATCAAGTATAAGCTCCCGAGCCAACATAATATTATCGGTGATCCCCCTTCCCTGAATAAATGCAAATTGGTTCAAAGATATAATATTGTGAAGGTGAGGTTGGAGGCGTTTAACCAGAATTTTGCTAATCACCTTATAAATCACCGAAGTAAGCGAGATTGGTCTAAAATGATCCCACGAGCTTTTTTGATTATTTTTAGGGATGAGAACAATGGTAGCAACAGGGAAGTAATTGCCAATGTTCTCCCCTCTAAAGAAACTTTGAATAGTCGAGACGACATGATTTTTAACAATGGTACAGGTTTTAATGTAAAAAGTAGAAGTGAAGCCATCAGGACCCAGAGCTTTATTACAGTTAATATCAAGAAGGGTGGAGTAAACTTCCTCAGTCGTTGGAATACCGCAAATATCAATTCCCCCTATGAAATGACGAACATCGTCAAATAAGGATGCGTCAATAGAGCCCGAAGTTACTTGGTACTCAAAAAGCTTCGAAAAGTAAAGAACAACATTCTCCCCAATTTCCTCATCCCCAGTAATCCAGCTGCCATCATTATTTTTAATTCTCACAATGAGATTATTGGCTCTTCTCAATACAAGCGTGAAAATACTTGGTGTTTCTGTCACCCTGAGAAAAATGAATATCTCTCGCTTTTTGTTGAAGCAGCTCCTCCTCCCAAAGAGAGGCCTCAAGCAGCTCTCTATTAGCATCATGTAACTCATGTATGATGTTATATGTGTTCTCATCAATGCCCTGAAGCATATTCACCCGTTGTTCGGCTTTTCTGACTCTAGCATGACCATTACCAAAAACATTTCAATTCCAAGTCCTTAAAGCAGCGGCCACCCTTTTATGAAGTTTCCAAAGAGTGTACCAAATATTCCCCACCTCCAAGCACTTCCAATTATCTGCAATTAATCTCAAGAAATCATCATGTCTCGTCCAGACATTAAGAAACCGAAAATGATAGATAGAGGATTTTTTGAAAAAGTCAAAAGATTAGAGGAGAGGACTATGATCCGAGCCAGTTCTGGAGAGGTGTTAAACTTGAGAGAAATCATAAGAATTGAGCCAATGTTGATTAGCAAGACATCTATCAAGACGTTCAAACAATTTGCCCATTTTCCAAGTGAATTTGGAGCCAATGAAGCCCAAATCAGATATACCTGCTAAGGCCAAAGCATCATTAAAACGGTTAATTAAAGTAGTGTCTATTCTCCTGCCACCTAATTTCTTTGATTCATGTATCACCATATTAAAATCACCACCAACCATCCAGTTGTGATTGATGGAAGTGCCCAACGTAGGAAGTTTGTGCCAAAGATCTAATCTGGCAACATTGGAAGTCCCGACATAAACAAAAGTGAAAAACCCAGAGAAAACATCCATAGTGAAATAAATGTGAACAAATTGAGAATCATCAATGACGATATCCACATTAATATGCTTCCACCAAAACACCTATATCTTATTAGGAGTTAGCAAAAGAAGAGAAGTTTTTGAATCGTCCGGATAAGCAACAGCGGTTCCAAAATAGCAAACATATCAATCTTATGGATCCTAGTCATCAATTTGAGCAATTTGAGTCTACCAAGGGAATGAGGATCCGCAATTCCCCTGATATTCCAAATAAGGACATTAAACATGTTTAAACGGAAGAACCCTTCCTAGAAGACCTAGGCCGGATTCGTCCGTTCTCATTATCAAAAAAGTAATGATTCGTATCAAGCCCAATTTTCCATTGTTAACAGTTTGTACCTCCTTATGCACAACATTCTTTCTTCTCCTATATTTTTGCACGTCATTCCTCCCTTAACACATTAGAGATATCATCCAACTGTGAAACATCAGGAAAAATATTTATATGAGAAATAAGAGAGGAATTATCCATATTAAAAGCGTCAGGAAGAGAGGCAGAGGAGGGACGAGCCCTCTCAACATCGTGTAGGATTTCCGGGACAGCATGATCAAGCCTTGGAACAGCGCCCAAAGGTTCCCCAGAATCATAAGTAGTCTCTTGTGTAATAACATCATTTGAAATTTGAGGTAGAGAAGGAGGTATATCCGGTATTATAAAACTTCCCCCCCCCCCCCCCTCATTAATAATAACAGGAGCATTAAATTCAGTTAAAACATTGCCAGTTCTACCCTCAGTGTGATTCGCAGTGAGTAACGAAGGAGGATCAGCGACTGAACCAGCCTGAGCAGCCACAGGTTTAGCTATCTGTGGCTGGCTCCTCCCCACGCCATATTTTAAATCAGGATGTAGTTTGAAGCAATTTACCTGATCGTGACCAAACATATTACAGTGGATACAGTAATCAGGGTGTCGTTCCAATTTCACCTGTTGCCAATAACCAATGTGTTCTGAGCCAATCCAGACCTCCTCCGGAGGAGGTTTCCCTCTGAATCAAAACCCTAGCCATGGAGGGTCTAGTGAGATTATAAGTTGGTCCATCCAATTTTAGGGGACGGCCAAACATAGCAGCTAAGGAAAACAAAATCTCGTGGTTGAAAAGATGGACCTTCAGAGACGTGAAACAAATCCATACAGGAATCACAGGGGCCTCAGCTTTAGGATCAAAATTTGGAGACCATTTTAGAACCTTCATGCCACAGTTTTCAAACCATACCATACGCTTAGCAAAAAGCCGCGTATAGTGCTCCTCATTCGCAACTTGAATCAAGATATGCCTACCATCCAGAGGTCCAATCTTTCATTCACCCGAGAGTTTCATCAACTCAAAGTTTTTCCTCAGGAAATCCAACTTAGGGATCCCGTAAATGAACTTGCCAACCAAATGCAACCTACCTGAAGTCACAAGCTCGACGTTCTCAGCCTCAAAAAGAAAAAGTGCGAGCTTCCCCCCTTTCCGGCCGGGACAACGAACGAAAGAGGAAACAAAAGAATCATGCTCAAGAGAATCATAGGAGGAGGAAGGGAAGTTGGGAACGCCGTCAGCGGTGGCACTGGCGTAAGAACGAAACCTCCTACCCGTTTCACTACGCCCACCCGCCGTCACACCGGCATACGAGCTCGCCATTCGAAAGGATTACTCGAATCACCATAACCCTAGCAGAGCAGAGAGCGGAGACGGAAACATCGCGATTATTTTTCTTATATATATATATATATACTTTTTGGTTGCTGCTTTTTCATTGAAGTGCCAGCCCTCTTCACCTTCTTCTCTTAATAATATATGGTTTGAGGACAAAAACTTGAACATGGTCCAACTGGCCAAGTCTAAATGAGACGATTTAGGAGGGGATAATAAATAAGCCCAACCAAACCTTAGAACAGGTAATTCCAAAATCCTCAAGTTATATAACTCTAAAATTAGTTTGAGGATTGTGAATAGTGAATAAAATAGATTCTTATGAAAAAAAAATCGCATGGGGAAACTTCATAGGTATCAAATAGCATATATATATGCATGTATGTATATATGAATGTGTGTGTGTGTGTGTGTGTGTGTGTGTGTGTGTGTGTGTATATATATATATATAGAGAGAGAGAGAGAGAGAGAGAGTAACAATTAGTATCCGTGTTATTATGTTATATGTTAAAGCCCTAAATAAGGTATGAATAAACCGCTCAATGGATGAAAAAAGGTTTCCAATCAACATCATATATTAAATCTTTTAGATTGATGTCATGTTAGACTTTATCTTTTGTCCAGATATAGCTATGGTTTTTGTAGTGTTTAACAAGGAACCTTCAAAATAAGCGTCTGCAGTATTTTGAAATTATATCATTAATTTGGGGTTACAAGTGGTGAATAAAACAAGAATTCGTAATAAATTTTTCACCTGCATCTGAAGAAATTAATTATAGAAAATTTCTGTCTTCTGTTAAAGTTTTAACTCATCTTAATATTAATGATAGGGAATCTTTCATTTATGCTGTAAGTTGTACCATATCAGTCTACTGATAATCTTAAATATCATTGCTAGACAATCATGTATGACGGAATCTCATTATTTCTTATTTGGCCCTAAGTATGAGTTTAAGCAAGCCAATCTTAACTTCCAATAATTTAGTAATATATATACTTGTACTGATTGTTTTTTAAATATTTACATATAATAAAAGTGTGCTTGTATGTAGTAGTATAAATATATTGATATATTTTCTTCCTATGACACTTATGGATTTGCATATATGAGCGAAGAGAAGTTTATAAATATATATTTTACCATAAATCGAGTTAATTATGAGTTAAATCAAATTAATTTAAAGCGAGCCATTCTGAAGTTAAAGCAAATCAATTTTGATTTTGAGTTGATTAAAATTAATACAATTATCAAAGGAGTTTCAAATTTAGAACAAAATTGCCAGCCCTATCTTCTGTACAACAATAAACCTTCAGCTTGTGGCAAGCAATTTGAATATAAAATTAGGAGTTTGAGATTTTAGAAGGTTTGCATAGTGATTGTGAAGTGTTACTGTTAGAATCAGTGGAGCTATTTCTATTAGATTGATAATCAATCATAAAATCTATGCCAAAACTGATGAAATAGATTCAATTTCATGCTTCCTAGACTGAATCCATTTTCAATATCAATCAAACTGTGTCAAGATTTTTGGCTTTTAAAACTGTAATATTATTAGATTTTGCAGCTTACAGTTTTATGATCATTTCTCTTTACTGAATCTTTGTTTGGTTTTTGCTTGGCTTTCATTTATACAAATACATTTCCCTGCTCTGCAGAAAAGTGCTTTATTTGCAGAAAGAAAAACTGAGAAGGCCTATCAGGAGATTGATGAAATAAAGAAAAAGTATGAGTCACAAATTGCTACACTAAAACAGTTACTAGTGGAATCACACTCGACGAAAGAAGGGCGAGTTGATGAATTTTCTTCTGGAACTGGACACAATTCTTGGCTTTATGGCTATGACCAGTGCAACATATAACTAGTTCAGGTATGAGCATATATAATGCAATGAAAAGTCTCTGTCGGTACACCATAAGCACAAAAATTTTGTTTTTACAGATTTGTTCAACTCTTCAGTTCTGTATGCCTATTTCTCACTTGTTGCATTGGTAAAATATATTTTAAAATCCATAGCAAATTCCTTGTGTTTTGTAAAACCTATGAAAAATTCTTAAAAATCATTTCTACAGTAAGTATCTGCAACACGAAAAATTATTGCATGCGGTGTCTGATCTACACCGTAGATCACGGTGATCTACGGTGAGGATGCAATCAATTTTTTTTGAAATAAAAATAAAAAAATTTAAAGTGGGGCCCACCAAAATACATGCTCACCATAGATCACTGTGATCTACGGTGTAAACCGCATGCATCTTTGCATGCAGTGTCCGTATGCAATAATTTTTCCTGCAACACACAATCATGAAACAATCAATTAAGCTTTCCTTTCTAAGCCCGATAAACTCTATCAATTTTGCAAAAACATTTATGCATCAGATACATATATATATATATATATAATTAGATGAAATATGATTGGCTTGGAGAGAATTTTCATACAGCTGTGGCACAGCTTGCATTTATTTTTGGTTTCTTGTATAACCTGAGTTAAATCTGTTGGGCACACAAACAGGTTTTTGGTCCCCTATTGCCAAGTTGGCTGAAAATGATTTGTGAAAAGCTTAGAGAAGATTTTAATGGCCTGGAGAAGAATTAGAAATGCTATTTTGGGATTATAAGGGATAGCAGGGGGGACAAGAATTCAAATATATGTCTCATACACTCTCAGTTCTCTCCTACTGACATTGAAATTTAATGTGGACTGCCCAACAGCAATTTTCATTCCTTATGGTTTACAGAAGAAGAATCTAATTGTTTTTTTTTTTTTTCTTCATGTGGTTTTGTCCTCCTGATAATAGGTACTACAGCTTGTGGGCCACTGCTAGTTCTTCATTAATTGAATGGTAGTAGATTAGAAGTCTTTTGTTTTATTGATAAGTAGGTCCCCCAATTTTTTATTTTTATAATAGGGGCATTTGCATACATACCCATCTAATTCCTATGTATTTACATATCATGCACTTAACTTAATTTTTGTTTTTTTAGATTTACACAATCCTAATTTTTCATATGACATTAAAAATGTCACCATTTTTACTTTTTAAGCAGTGAAATGCACCGTTTCATGCACAGGTAAGGTGGGTATGTATCTAAAAATTGAAAATTAGGTGTTAGATGTGCAAATACATAGAAATAGAGTGGGTATGTGTGCAAATCTTGGACTTGTAATGTGTCTATGTCATGCCACCTCGTATTTTGGTTTGTTCTTTGTCAGGCTATGGTTAGCTTAAGTTTGTTCATTGTGAAGGTAATGGAGAGGGCATGTGATTGATTGCTTGATAGGAATGTGAGCCTGTTTTCTCCCCTTTGGGATTATAGGCTTTGATGACTTGTATTAAATGTCCATGTTGATATATAATTTTATAAATGAGAAAATTTTGTTAGAGCTTTATATTCATTAGAATTATTTTAGTGATGGGCTCAATATAAGAATTAAATGATTAGTATTATATCGTATTCATCTCAAAATAAATCTAACGAATGAAAAACTCAACAAATTAAGCGTTTTCTTATTATTTTTCTTAATTGTTTTTTTTATTAATGATTTTATTATAACACTAGTTTAAGTAAAATTATTCTCTCTTCTATAACAAATAAATCGACTTGTGGGTCAGCTTGAACCCTTAAACTTAATTAAGTCGAGTGTCTTGATTCATTTACACCACTACTTGCGTGCACTCAGCATAACTGATTTTCAACTTAAGGTGTGTTTGGGATGGCGGTGTGGCACTCCTCCGTCGTTTTTGTCTATTTATGCAAACTGCATTTTGATAGTTTTTTCAAAAAACTGCTGCTGAAATCTGTGTTTTCCCACCACTTCAGTTTATATGTTCTGATAGCTTTCTAGTTGTGATTCAACTTTTTTTTTAAAAAAAAATTGTATTAGGCACAACAACTTTTTTAGCATCAGATTATTTTTCAGCAGCTTCACAGATGTTTTTTAATAAGCTGTTTGGATCAACCTCCTAAATTAAAATATAATAAAATACAAAGTTTTGGGATTGGAGGGGATTTTGTTTTATTTTCATAATGAAGGAAGAAATATATATATATTTTTGTACTAAAATAAGAGATCAACCAATTCATTAGGGTTTAGCTGCCAACAAAGCTTGCAACCTAATGGAATCCAATGAGGTGGAAGGTCCCTTTCTAGCTAAATCATTATTAGGATACCTAAACAAATTGCTTCCTCTAAAAAGCTCATCGCTTTGTCCCAACAAAACCTTGATGATAAAACACCTTATCTTTATGTATTTACATATCCAAACCACACATATGTGATATGTAAATAAATAAAAAATTATGTGGTATTTATGTAAATGTCCATAAATTAAAATGTTGATATGTGGATCTTAACCACACATGCCTCCAAAATGTCTCCCTTCTCAAGAAATTCAGGCATGGGATTATTTATTTATTTATTTATATTTTTATTTTATCGGGAAATGGCTTATCAGCCGTCAACGATCTTATCTTAACGGGCAAGAAAAGGTTTAAAAAATAAAAATTTAAAAAAAAAATCTTTTTTTTATTACATAGAAATCAGTGCTCGGTACATCCAAAATTTCCCATCTAAACGGTTTTTTTTAAATAATTTCCAAAATAGCCCTTCCTTTTTTTCGTGGGGTCATTTTTGTGAAAAAAAATATATTACATCAGGACTCCTGCTGTATTCAGAGTCAAATGATGGGGCGTCCCGTGTCAAGTGGGTTCCAGCATTTTTAACACCGTCCAATATTAGTGTATTAAGATGAGGGCCACTTGACACGTGACGCTCCACCATTGGACTCCGAACGCAAATTACATTAAGTCCTGATGTAATATTCTCTCCATTTTTGTAAAGGGGACTAGAGTTTAAATTTAAAATAGTTGGGGACTCTTTTGATATTTCACAATCTAAAAAATAATTTAAAAAATATTAATTTAATTTAATTTATATTTTGAATCTCATTTTTCTATGGTAGCGTGTAAGATACCCTAAACAAACTTTTAATCAAAGATCAATATATTTTTGGCGATTGGGGATTAACACACGCTAAGGCTAACAACCTTTTTATTTATATTTAAGACTATGTATGTGCCCACAAAGGCATGAAAAATGAAATTGTAGATTTACAAATATACCATTAATTTTTTATGCGTTTACATATCTATCACCTACGGTTCAATTTATATATATATGTGCTACCTTACCTATGTATGAAAATGTGTATTTCACTTTTAGAAATTGAAGTGGCGATAATTTTGTTGTGATATGAAAGATTTGTTGGAGCGTATAAATGTAAAAAAGCAAAATTTAGCGATTAGAAATGTGAAAAATATAAGAATTGTGTGGTCTATATATAAATGACACAAAATAAAATAAAAAAAAGGAATCTTTAGTGGAGATTTGTTAAGAGCACTTGAATGAATAGAGTACAAGTCATAGCTTAAGAATTTAAAAATCTAAGGTGGTGGATCCCTCTCCTTCTTATGGTTATGTTTTGGGTGCTTAATCATCCATGATATTTCATGATGAAGATGTGTCCATTCTTGCATAAAATAAAAATATAGGCTTGTTAAAATCAATAATTTAGTATAAATTCTAAAAAATGAATATGAGATGCTCTAGTATTTGAATATAAGTTTAATAAGAATATCATCTATGGCAATATAGGGAAATTTCTTAGTTTCTTGTTTTGTTAGTGTGAATACCCACAATTGATTCCTTTATCATAATTAGTTTAATGTTGGGGTTGAGGTAGTTGATTTTATCATCGTTTGTACAAGTATTCCACTTGATTCTAATTCTCTTAAAGTTGTCTGACCAAGTGTGCGACGGTACTTTATTATTTGTTATAGTTAATGACATCAATGATAAGTGTTAGAACCAGACAGACTTACTTATATAAAATTGTTATATATCTGATTACTCTTAATACCGATATAACTTTCACTAAGATAAGTCTTGTCTTGTTTCAAAATGAAAATTCAAATTATAAAACTTATGTGTCTTTCAAAGTTTTAATATTTATTTCTCTTCAATATACAAAAAGTCTAATTCTACTATTTTGACTATCTCTATTAGTACATTTCCTAAAAAAAACTAAAAAATGCTTATAAATATCTCTTTGTTCAATTAAGAATCTATGATGCTTTCGTTAGCACTATAAATCAGTTATGGTTGATACCATAACAACATCATAAAATTTGTCTCATATCACATTACATATTAATTCTACATAAGTTTCATGAATTTATCATCTTTATGCCTCCTTATAGAAAGAGACACAAAATATTCTTTAAATTTTTTTATAAAATATCCCTAATCAATCAGCATGATTGCTAGGCATTCAAGCTTTTCATAATGTTGCCCTCTCTAGCATCTTTTTGCTTCTCCATGTACATAAAATTAATAAGCAATATATTAGAAAAAATATACCAATTAGTTTTTTTCTTAATACATAGTAGCCTTTTTTTTTTTAATTGGTCCCTTCAACTCTTATAAGTAATAGTGGCCCCATGACTTAGATTAACTTAAGATGTTTATCCATTTAGATTTCATTGTTGCTCCCACTAGATTAGATCACAAATCTTACATCAATTGTGCATTGTGCCTAATCATTTGAATTGGAGGAATTGTATTAATAATAAGATTTGATGTTACTCCATCTCTTTCAATATATTTATCTCTTACTTCATCTTGATTATTTGTAGGGCAACAATATATAATAATATATTATTTAATTAGAACTAATATAATTTAGCCAAACCTCCTAAATCTCTTTGGGCGTTCTATTTTTTTTTTTTTAATGTTGTTCTAAAAAATCAAATTCTCTCTCAGATACTATATTTGTCACGATTAATTCTAAAATTTGAAATATCAAGCTATGAACTAGCTATCAAATAAAAAATTAAATATTTCAAAATACATAAAAATAAAACTAAAATAAAGTCTTAATAAAAATCTTTACAAAATTTACTTTGTATTAGCACAATTGCTTTCTTCGAGACATACTGCTCATCTTCTGTTTGAATTTTTAACAAAATCAAGCAAATTCAACTATGTTTGAAGCCTTATAAATGTGATCTTAATTCTTAAATATCTTAGAAGTCACTTACAATATTGGAAGGTAGATGTGTAATTTTTTTTATTTTATGTCAAGAGAGTAAGTAACAAATTATGAATTAGGAGGAAAATGGTTGGTATATAGTACCCATTTTAAATAAAAAATTGCACTAATTTGGTTGGAAAAATAATAATTTGATGGTGACATAAATCATGAAAGGTCTATAATTATATTTAAGGAAGATGCTTTTGTCCAATTTCATTATCTTTAGTGCCTTTATGGTTGGAGAGAGCATCATAGATAAAGGGACAACAATTTGTTGTCTAAGCCTATCATGCCTAACTCAAAGACATTGTTTGGTAGTATGAATAATTTAAATTAAATAAGTTTGGATAAAAAAAATTCAATTTAAATTTTAACTCTTTATTATGAAAGAGAAAAAAAAATATATTTTAATTCAAATAAATATTATAATTAAATATGAAATAAAGGAATGAAATTTTAGGAGATAATATTTAAAAATCAAGGAAAAAAAAAGAATTTTTAATATTTTTTAATGAATTTATAATTAAAATTTTAACTTCTATCATATTTTAATTATATTATTATAATTACTTTTAAATAAGCCTAATCACAAGTTGATGAATTAAATTAGAATAGTTGACTTAAGCCAACTAACTCTGACCCCTAATTTATTTAAATAAAAAAATTTACTAGAATATTAATTTAACCTATAGTTTTACTAGGAAGTAAAGAGAAAATGAAGGGAAATAAATCAACATACACACCACACAATTCTTCTATATTTACATGTCTAACACCTAAACTTCCATATTTATATTTATAACACTCTCCTGTGATAAACTCATGCATGCAAATGTGTACTTAAAAAGATTTGGGTGCTATGCATATAAATATTAAAATTTGGGTGTTAGATATGTAAATACATAAGAATTGTGTGGCATGCATGTAAAGGCCCCAAAAATAACAATGGAAAATAAAAATGGGCAGCTTTGATAATGATATATAGCCTTCCATGGCTTCTTACATCATGCATTTGAATGCCCTTTAACAATTAAAAAAATAAAAATGCAACCACTATGTTTTATGTGGCACTTTCAAAGAAAAAATAATTAAAAAAAATTGCATTTATTTCTAATTTTGTTTCTTATAGAATTTCTATTTTATCTTCATAATCTCTTAGTTTGCTTTATAGAATTTCTATTTTATCTTTGATCTGTTTGTTGGCATTCTCGGTGTAAGTCCCTGTAGGTCAAGAGAGTTCAATTCAAATCCCTTCTGCCATAATTGGCCTTTACAAGGTGAAACGCGAATTGTTAGACACAATAAGAGTGGCTAGAGGTTCGTATAATAGCCTCCGACCACTTTTTTTTTTTTTAAGGAATTGTCAGATGCTATTATTCGAGCCTCAAGTCACCCCTAATGTGTCTAATAATTCGAGTATTGTCTCTTTAAGCCAACTGTGTCGAGATTCGAACCCTCCACTTAAGGGGTCTTATACCGAAGAAGCCATATATATATATATTACACATCCAAATGCAGTTCTAATGATGCCACAAGCTAAGAAGGTGCTATGTATACCCCTAATTCGTATGTATTTACATATCTAACACCTAACATTTTATATTTACATTTATAACACTTGCGTGTCATAAACCTAGCATGTAAAAATTTATTTCGCTTTTAAGATGTTAGTAGTAATATTATTTTGTACGTACGTATGTAAATACGAAAGTTTGAGTTCAGATATGTAAATACATAAGAATTGTGTGATATACATTGAATTGCCCCAAATTTTTAAATTGTTTCTGTATTTACCAAAATAACCACCAACCAATATTTTAATTCAACTTGAACAACTCACTGTTTCAGCCTCCTAACACCTGTATCTCCTTCATGACCTCACCAATGTTTATATATCATATTAGAGTGGCAACCAACTTAGAAAAGCTGATTTCATTGTTTGCAGATTGAAAAAAAAGATGTTATTTTTCTCATTAAGAAAATGAAATCACATAAGAAAACTGAAAAAAAGACATTGCCATATTAATCAGAATTTTGAAGTCAGCAAACATGTAAAGATTACATTTTTCATTGAAAAATGAAATGAGGAGCTTAGAGAACAACATCAAACCAAATGATATTAAAGTTCTATAAAAAAAATATAAATTTTGATGTCATGCAATCAAAAAACCAAAAAAAAAGAAGGTAATTGAGGCAACAAGTAGAAAATACTTAATAAATTGATAGTGATAATTAACTTTAATACAACAAAGTGGCTGCAATGGAGTCCAATTTCCCCCACTAAACTCTCTCATTTCCTCTCCCACCCTAAACTCTCACCAAATTACATATTTTCATGTGGTGTAAAGCCATATAAATTCACCACACATGCCAGTTTGCAGTAACCAACCAAGCTCATACAATGGTTACTGAACAAATACCAGGCAACAATCAGTAACCAAAGAAAAAGAAAAAATTAGATGGAAGCTATTGTAACCACTTAAATTGTTAATTTAAATCATATTATAGTTATTTCATGCAGATCTCTCAATATAGAAAGAGTTCTTGCAATTTGAATGGACTTTAACACAATTAGTACTCTATCTTCATGTTTGTTGCAGACAATTGTCCTGTAAGAAATCATCTACACCTATAACTTTCCATCTTCCAATTATGAAAATCATGAAATTAAAAAAAAAAAAAATGTTTGATTACCATGGAAGCTCTGTGAGGCCCCTCCAATCTCCTCTGTCTGCTGGTTTTGCCCAAAGTACAAATCATCCAAAAGATTCCCCACCTGAAAATAGAACCAAATTACATAAAAAAACTAGGTTTTTTTTTTTAATCATTCTTTATCAAACTTGGAAAAATTCTTTCGCTAAGATATTAAAATACCTGAGAGGCAGCACCTACAAACATATCAAGAGAAGATTCCATGCTTGAAGGTTGATAGAGAATGGACTCATATTGACTTAAGGAGCAATTACCATCAATTAAATTTGAAACAGTAAGAGGAAAAGAGTTTGATTCCTTGGATTGGTGACCAAAAGGAAATGCAGCAGCTGAATTTCCTATAGGGTAAAGTGAATTTGATGCAGAAGCTTTTGCTTGATTTGTGAGAAACTGCGAGTAAAAGCCATGTTTAGAGAGCATGTATACTATATAAAGTGAGTAAAAGAGCTGATTTAAGTTTTTACCTCCTTGGTGAAGAGATTATCCAAGTTGAAATCAAGCCGCGGATTCACCGTCACTAGCTTCATCGAGAGGAACTGCAAAAGAAGTGAAAGAAATGGTTTTTGAAGTAATTGAACAAAGTATATTTCATTCATTGTTTTGAGAAAGTTTTCTACCTCAACTTGCCGCTGCAATGATTGTACATAGTTTATGATTTCATCAAGCATTAGTGCTTTTCCAGTTATCTATCATATAAAAATCCATTAAAAAAATAATCTTTTTTTTAAAAAAAATAATAAATAAATAGTTTTTAACAGACTGATTCCCCAAATAATACTGAGAATACCTTGTTGCAGCCGGGAACAAGATCTTGAAGCAGTTTCATTCTCTGACTGATCTTTTCCCGTCTAACCTGAAATGAAACTACCAAAAATATCAACAAGGAGATCTCAAAAAATGATTTTTTTTTTTCTTTTTCAACCACAAATTTATCTAATTTTACCCGTTCAGCAAGACTATGGCTATCTGTGGCTTGGCCTCTTCTTGCCCTGACATGGATGTAGTCTGTAGGTGGCTCAGGGGACTTTGAACCATTAACCTTCCCACTCTTCTTATCTTTATTCTGATCTTCCTTGGGCTTAGCCTCCTCTTTTTCACCACTCTCAGCTGACCGGCATTTCTTTTCATTCAGATCATTCTCCTCTGCCACCTATAAAGAAAAAAAGTTTGAACTTTACATAAAATGATAAAGATCAAACAAAGTTTAGCAAAGTAGAAGATAAAACTCTAATACCTTTCCTTTGCTCTTGTATGCTGCCTTTCTCTTCTTAACATTCCTAGTTCCAGTTACTGAAACAATATTAGTCACGGAAGAATCTTCCGGGCCACTCCCAAACTCTCCATCTCCCAACTCCGACTGTGCACGGCTCTCCTTAGCTTTAAGAAACTTACTGCTCGAAACCTTCGAAAGCTTTACAGCCTCTGGAAGGCCAAATTGGGCAACAGTTGATCCATAGTTCTCAGCACTAAAGGAGGAGTAACTCGCGGCCCTCTCAATGAATGCTGGGTCGTTGGGAACCGACATCAGATGGTTGATATGCATGGAATTGAGAGGGTCATCCACGAAGCTGGAGATCTCGCCGGAAATGGCGACAGTCGGAGCTGGAGTTACCTGCGGGGGAAAAATAGTGCTCAGGAGGTCCATGGAGTGAGTCCAGTTGAGCTGATCCCGGGATGGTGGTTCGTAATTCATCTCCGGAGGAGATAAAGTTGTCTCCTTCACTGAATTGAAGCGGTGGAGAAGGCAGTTAGAAAGAAATGCAGCGATTTTGAAGAACCCAGAGAGGAATCTGGAGCAGTGATGGAGAAGGAGAGAGAAATGAGGGAACTTTAGGGGAGAATTGGGTCAGAGGAGGGAGAAAGGGGGCAGCTTTGGAGAGGGGAAAGTAGATGAGAGAAAGGGAAGGAAGGAGAGGCGGTTGACCATTTAGCTTCTTACAGGTAGGGAGGAAATAGTGCGGGATGGTCTCCTATGCCGCTACAAGCTATCTCAAAGATGTAGCTCATGTTCTCTGTAATCTAGGGGCGCGCGCACGCAATAGAGAGAGAGAGAGAGAGAGAGAAAGGAGTTGTAAAAATAAATTTTTACTGAAAATGCTTAAAAAAATAGAGGATGATGATGGAGACAATATACTTCAGTTTCTATCGTATTATTGCGCTAATTTCGATGAGAGGGAAACTTTTTAAATTTATTATCCTATGAATCACAATTTTTGTTACATTTGTGTGATTAATTATTGAGGTAAAATATGAGTTTTTTTAGTAAATTGATTATGTGGCATTTAATTTTCTCTCCTAATTTCAAATTTGATTTTTCATATTGCCTCATTTTTATATTTATTTTATTATTATTTTGCAGCAATTTATATTTTAAGACGGTGTTTGATAGCATACGTTTATTAATATTTATTTGTGAATTTAACATAAATCTACCAAAATATAAAATAGTAGAACTAAATCTAACAGTTTGATAAATTCCCTTATATATATATATATATATATAACCACAAAAAGAGAGAGGGAGAGAGAGAGAGAGAGAGCAACATACCAAAATAATTTCCGCTTATTTACACAATCCGTCATAATCTTAGAGTTAATAGAAATACCATAATAATCTAAAAACTGTTTAAATTGACATTAAAATAATCTACATGGAAGACTATTAGAATTCAATTTTAAAATAATCAAAGACTATTTTGGAGAGAGAGAGAGAGAGTATTATTCATTTTAAAAAATAATTATTTTTCACAAGCATTTTTTAATAATATCATAAATTTTAAAGATTAGATTTAAGATAACTAGTAGATAATGACTTTTTAATGTCAACTATCTTAAATCATTATCATTCAAAAATTGAAATAAATGATAAAATGACTTGAGATTAAATAGAAAGAAATCGGATGCACATCCAAATCATTGTTTTGAAAAATCACTAAATTTGTTCAATTCTTAGACACTAACATTAGTTCCAAATTTCACAAACTTCCTCAAAAATAAATATTTTAAATTGGAAAAAAAAAAACCCAAGATCTCATAACAATGGCATTATATATTTAATTGCAACATTTTTTTATTACTTAGAAGCATACCAAGTCTATAGAATTTCATGTGGTAACAATTTTGGTGGATTTATATTTCAAAATAATAATAATAATAATAATAATAATAATAATAATAATAAACTACAACTAGAAATTAAAAAAAAAAAATACATTGATTTAAATTAACATATTGATGACATTATATTTATTTGATCATACAAGTAATAGGCATTGGATCAAGATAACATAAAGTGTATCAAATACTATATACATTCAAGAAGTGGGAAGCCTACAAAATTTAAACATTAGAAAGTCCATAATGCTAAACTCATCAAAGAGTTACAAGGCTTGCTTGAAATTTAAGTAAATTTGGCAGAATGAATAAATTTTTTTTCCCTAAGGGTTTTAGAATTATGATTTTTCATCATGGCCTTTAAAAGGCTTTTAGATTTTTCATCATGATATTTAAAGCTAAATTATTTGTAGAATGTTTCAATAAACAATTTAGCTTAAAAAAGATCCATTGAATATTAATTAGTTTTATGTCATTCATACTTAAATAAATTGAAAATGTGAAGTCATGCGGGAGTAGAGAGAAGAGAGAGAGATGAGCGTGGACGGGTCGCCATATAAGGCCTTAGATTTTGATGTCAGTGTCGGAGGAGAGACATTGTTTTACCACATCATTTTTGGACTCATTTATGTCTCGTTGGGTGATGAACCATCGATAGTGATCATCGTTGGCCTTTATACCCATTGATAAAGTTCAATCAAATGAACGTGACAATTGAGGTCCCTTGGACAGACACAACAATAAGCATATTTTTTTTTAATGAAACTGCGAAAAGCCCTTATCTCAATTATAGAAATTACAATATGGCGGGTCTTGCCATTGCGTGGGCTGGCCCATGCCAATAGGTATAGTTTGGATTACGGGTGCAAATGAGTCGAGTCGAGTTGAGTTCAAGCCGCCCTCGATTCAAGCCTGAGCTTGATTATTTGATTGAGTTAAAACTCGAGCTTTAGGATTATGTTTGAGGCAGTTGCGGCTGTTTGAAAAAGTTATTGCGTAGCAGTTGCTGCAAGAAAGCTATATTTTTATTTGTATTGTACAGCTGTGAGCAGCTTCTATGTTGTAGCTGTTTATGAAAAGATGACATTTTTGTCCTTATATTGTGGTGTTGTTTGTAAAATAACTATTTTAAGCTTAACGAATCAGACACAGAAACATCAATTACATTCAGAATCCTCAAAAACTAAAAAATTCAAATATTACATCTAGAATTGACACTCACTAAAAGAACGGTTAAGAAATAAGACAATGAGTAACACAACAATCGAGTATTTGGGAATGAAAAAGAGCAACAATAAGGAATAAGAGATAGATTGAATCGGGTATTTGAATATGTTGTAGAGTAGTAAAAAACTTTCCAAAGTATGTGAAAAGTTAAATAAATTTAAGAAAATGTTAAGAAATAAGAAGCCAAGGATAAGTAGCACAAAAGCAATGTATATGATGATTATACTCTTTATGAATTAAATAGATTTATGTAGTGTAACCTAAAAGAATGGATATATAAACTAATAACCACTTTACGTGTGTTATAGATAGAAATGCTAAAATGGATTTAAGATGAAATTGAAAAGAAAAATGGGATCTATTACAGTGATGGCATAATAACATGTAACATCTAATAGAGATAACTTGGTGAAAAGTAGAATACATAGTTTGGGCATATACAATTGAAGATATGTAAAACACATGAGAATTGGGTGGTATGCATGTAAATGGCCCTAATAAAAAATTAGAACAAGAGACAAAATCTGCACCCCAACTGCCATTCACTATGATTTGATATTGCCTTTCCTAATCAATTCTATATCAGAAATCATAAGTAAAATATGAACTCAAGAAATATGTGATGATCAAATTAACCAGTAATACCTGGGCTCCTTCGATTACAAACTAGAACAATCTGTTTCCATTCGATCTCAAGAACTCCCAATTCGCCTCCGGATACAGCTCAGGACACAAACTATGATTCCATCCAACAAAGCCTGCCCGATTCCGAGAGCAAACAGGCGAGTCACGAACAAACACAGCGGAGTTTGAGTGTCCACGGGAAGCTGAAATTGGTCATGTTGGGGAATCCCAAGCGGAAGATGCCATTGTCCATCATGGTGAAGTTGAGTGGTGGCATGAAGAAAACCTCATTGCTTTCCCTCACCGGTCCGGGTGTGCGAGTGTGCTCAATTTTGAAGGACAGAGGGATAACTTCATCATTTTAACACACCGAAACAGCGGGCAGCAGGTGCTCGACTGCGGCGTAAAAACGTGTAAAAATGAAGACACATTCAATTAAACGCACCTTCGACGCGATAAACAAACACGTCAAGCTGTGTTTTCCATACTATAACATAGGCAAAAAACAACACTAAACAGACCCTTATTCTAAGAGTTTGAGCCGGCTTGATTAATATCAAAGATAGAAAATAATATTCATTCAAACTAAAATTATAATAAAATGATAAACAGGATGAGCAATTAGAAGATAAATGATAAGAACTCATTTGATGTGAAATGTAATATACTTTCATTATATTTTACATTAATTATTTTTTAAACAAGTTGACTTACGAGCTAACGAGTCCTGAGCTTGGCTTGTCAGCTCATCGAGCTTAATTCACGAGCCAATTGTCAAGCCAAGAGTCAGCTTAGCTAACTTACACCCCTAGTGTGGATTAGTTAATGTAGTGAGCATAGAGATGAGAGAAAACCCAAATATTGGAAAAATTAAGGGCTTCTAAAAAAATATCAAAATATGGAGACAACTTTAGCAATTTTATTTGAATAGCATTCACATGACATGAACACCAAGAAACAACCAACTCCCATAGATAATTTGATAAGAATTTGACACCAATCAAGAAGTCCAAAAGAAGGGTCACCTATATATAAGGCAAAAATCAGACAACGCGAATAATAACCAAACTGGAGTGGCCAACGAAAAATTTATGAGTAAAGAGCCAAAGTAGTCCCCGACTATTTATATAGGGTTGTTAGTCTTAAAGTTTATAAAAATGTCAAAATAGTCCACAGAGACTCTTTAAATTGAGTCTGAAACACCCATGAAGGACTATTAGAGCTCAATTTAAATAGTCAGGGACAATACATAATCTCCGTGGAGAACTATATATAGAGATATTTGAGATGAATGAGTACGAAAACATCACCATAGGATCATCAACAGACGATAGGTGAGCAGTGACAATGAAGCTGAAGAAGCTACCGTAAGTCAGATAAAAAAAAGTAGGCTCCACAAAGAAAGTTGGAGATAAACTGTCATATAAGCCACAAAATTTGCACTGGCAAGCAAGGATGGCAGTAAAAATACTTGAGATTGTAATGGTGAGCCATGAGCAACATCATATCATGACATCCCTAGCACAATTGAGTGTGATAAGCTAAAAGCAATGCTTGGAGAAATTTTGAATAGCAGGAAATGCAAGCACAACTAGCATGATAGAGAGTGTGTGCCATGGATGACAGTAGCGAGATGGGCGTCGCTAAGCACTACCAAGTGCAGAGAGCATGATGAAAAGTAAAGATGAAAGTTGAAAGAAAGAAGGATTTTATATCATAGAAGAATGATATGAAAACCTACCAATTGATCCTCCATTATATGCATATTCACTGAATTGGATATTATTAATAAGTTTTTTATTCTACTAATTTGAAGTATTATCCCCAATATTTTTCTTCATGAATCTAAACTTTCACTTTGAAAATAACCCAAACAAAATGGTTTGTCATCTACAAATAACAAATAACTTATATCATGTTATCTCATTTTGAATATATGTTATAACTCTATGGCAAGTATTAAAATCAACAATATGCTCCACTCCACTCACCCACACGAGAGATTATTAGGTACAGAATGCGGATTCAGTTGTACTTGGGTTGCAACCAATACAACACCAAAATCCGCACCTTCCTTATCCACACCTAATAATTTCCACACCCACACGCCTTGCTCATGTCCATCTCTTTTGCATGGCCCCTACCACATCTCTCGTAAGCACTTCACATTGAAACTCTCCTCTCTCACTAGCGAATTCCCTTTCCAAACTCCCGATCTTCATCACCCCACTCTCATCCGTGCAGGCCTCCTTCTCGATCAACATAACTTGCAGTCTCCGTGATCCCTTTATGTTCCAAGCCTTCACATGTCCCCTCCCTCACTACACAAGCCACCATTAAATTTATGAACCCTAGCTTGCAGACAACTTCCAACTAACACAACCACACATCATTTAGTGATCTTTTGATCCAACTAAAGTTTGAAGAGCTTAATGAGTGTTTATCTTTGATCGGGCTATAATTTTGTCTCCTTTTATTGATCATTGATTCATGTATTAAGTAGAAATTTCCTTCTTCATGGTTTAAATGTCATCAATACATTCAACACTTCTATTTGCTTACCATAATGGAATTGCATGTTGTCACTGTCCTCCTAAACACTAACGAGATAAGCAAAATAAATAAATAAATAATAAATCTTTAAATTTTTTAAGTAACACAACTGAAACATAAAAAAAATCCTTTATCATTAACTTGGATAATTTGAATATAAAAAATCAATGGCCATTGATCTAATCTATACCGAAAACTACCCTCTAATCAAATAGCAAGTGACTAGTTAGTTTTTAATCCGACCAGAGTATTTCTTCTCTCCGTGATCATTGATCCGAATATAAGGAGATGAATGGTCGCCACAAATAGCCATGCTTGACCAAAACTTAATAACTTTGTTGTCATTAGGTATGAATAACTTTATTGTAATGAGATATCAAAAGGTATAGCTGTCATATGATTTCTCCTAGGGCTGTGAAATCAGTTTGAAGATCGTTAATCACTCGATAATTAAAGTGATTTTTGGCTCAGATCGAAATAAGATCAAATAATTTGAGCTAAGATATGTGTCACAGCCAAAATCTTAAGTTCAGATTTGATCTGATTTTGATTCGCTGTGGATCAAATCGAACAGCTCACGATTCAAGTCAAATGTAGTGACATTTCAGTAAGGTGGAGCTGCGGAACGGCTGACTTTGGCACAATCAGGATCAGATGGTCGGGATTACATTGTGCGGTTCACTTAATTGTGTTAACCCTGAACTTATGCTCCACAGCTGCCCTTGCTCATTCCCAATTCGAAAAAATCTTTCAACCCTCCTAGACTTATCCTTTCTTCGTCTCTCTGTCACTCATTCTCTACATCCATCCGTCTCTCCCTTCCTCGGCGTGTCGGCACTCATGATATCCTTATTTCATCTTTGTAATCAATTGGTTGTGTGTCACCTGCGGCTTATGATCTAAATTGCCTGTGATCTATCTTGCTATCACCTCTCTGTACCTCTGATTCTCTTTCACTAGCCCTAGCTCTGGTTGGTGCTCCTAACATGTTCGTTAATACTATCTTATTTTGGATTAGGGTCCCTTGCATATGCATTCAATAAAAAATGTCATTCAAGCCAACTCAAAAATCGTTCGATTTCAATTATGAGCCGGATCCATAAGCCGATTTTGATCCATAAACTACCATTTCGATCTAATTTTGAGCCAGCCTTGGATCGGCTTGAAATCAGATCATTCGCAACCCTAAATTTGCCATTGTCAACATACCCTTGAACTGTAGCAAGAGAAAGATAGGGTGTAGGCGCATCAACAAAAAAAGAAGATATTCAATAGAGTTGCATCTATTACTCTGTAACCCAAATATGTTAACCACCAAAAACATTGAAAAAAATAAATTTATATGATAAAGGAGTTTAAAAAATTATCTATTATATTAATTCTCAAGGATACTATCCAAAGAGGTCAGAAAATAGTACTTTGTTAGTCCATGAGAGACATAAACTAAATAAGAGATCATATAGATACATTGGTGCGTCAACCAACCAATCACTACACCATTAACATAAAAATTTACAAAATTGTGTAAAAATGGATCATGGAATGAGATTAAAACCCTTAATTCTTTCAAGTTATAAGTGTCTGCTTATCAATCTAGATAAGCTTTCATCATCAAAATGTCTCCAAGCCTTCATAGTTTTCTTAACTCCAAACCACCTTATTTTTTAATCCAATTAATGCATAATATTCCATTTCACATGAATCTAGGGATGATCTAATGGACAAAAAAATCAAAATAAATCGTATGTATGCATATATATATATATATATATATATATATAAAGTCAGAAAATTCAACTGTCATAGTCATGACTATGGATAAATGGACAAAACTATCAACCTTAGGCCATCCTTGAGCTTACTTCATATTGTTATTTCATAAAAGCATGCCAGTCCATTAATATTCAAGTTTGCACCAAGAAGGGGCGTGTTATATTGGCGCCTAGCTTAAAGGCAAATTTGTATTTTGTATGTCTAAGGAAATTTAGTCTTTTATTATTGTTGTTGTCGGGTATAAATAGACTTGTTGTGTCTGAGGCTAGGTTTATGCATGAGACTGAGTTGTGAGTCTTAGGTTTAGGGTTTATGAGATATTTCTTACCTCTCAAATTGTAAGAATTAAGAGAGTTCACCTATGTCTCTATTAATAAGTGTTTATATTTATATTCTTATTGAGTTGTTTGAATTATGAAAGAAATATTGTGTTTTCCCTAATTTTTATAAGAAAATGTGCCAATTTTGAAGTTTGATCACATCAAATTGGCATCACAACAGTCTATTCTGGGAATCAAAGAAAAATGATTGAGCATGGAGAGCTAGATTTTCAATCGATGACGTGATCTAGGCATATAGTGAATCCTCAAAAAGATTGCAGCTTGTCGAGACGTGAAACTCATGTTTGAATCCTCCCTAAGTGATACAACACGATCCCACACTTTCTTGACCAAACCCTGCGATATAATCGCGATCATAGCTTATTGGGAAGGCGACGACAAGACCGAACCCAAGCGATACAGTCGTGATCATTACTTGCTTGGAAGGCAACGAAGGGCTCGCGATTTACAAAAGAAGGAAACAACGAGTTTAGGACACTCGTCGGTCCGCACTATCATAACTGAACCCTGTGATACAGTCAATCAAAGCTTATTGAGATACAATCGCGATCAGGGTAGGTTGTTTGTCGCCTTCATGACCAACCCTATGATACAGTTGCAATCATAACTTGCGGGGAAGGTGATGACGAGACCTTATTGATCCTGACAGAAGGCTTGTGATACAATAGCGGTTCGAGTTACCTGGGAAACAAAAGGGATTATGGCTTACATTCATCACGGTCTCACTGAATCGCGTGAAAAAGACTAGATCAGATCAAAACTAGCGGGGAAGACTACGACGGGATCGTGTGTGCCCTAATTGTGATCCTAGAAGTCAACCACTAGATTCAGAATCAAGCATTCCCTAGTGACAGGGCATAATAGCAACCAAGAAAGTAGATGATTTGGACAAAAAATTATAGGAAGAGATGAGTCAAATCATATTTAGAAGGAAAGAAAGATTCACCACCATAGAGGATAGGTTCTTTTCTATGGAGAACCGACTAGAGGATCAATTCGAGAGCATCAGAGAAATTCGAAGATGTTAAAGAGGCTCATTGAGAAGCAATCTAAGACCCCACCGACAACTCAATTTGCAAACCCTAATCAAAGGTTGAATGAAGAATCTGTGGCAATATCGAAAGGAAAAGAAATCAAATGTAAGGAAAATGAGGAAAACATCCACCTTCATGAACCCTCTTTCAGGGCTCCGATTGGGGGCGGATTAGAGATTTCTAATGGAGGTAGTTAGGTTGGGCCGAAATATGGAGAAAAGATTAAGCAAGAGGTACGGAGGAGCAAGAAGAATAAAGGAGAGAAGTAGGGAGGGGATATGGCTACGATCGAAAGAGGGAATTTTGCGCTCGATACATGAGGGAAAACAATGGAGGAAGAGAAAGTTGGGGTGAAGATGTTAGAGTTAGGAATTTAAATATGTCGATCTTTGAGGGGAAAGACACACATAAATATGTGTATTAGGCGGAGCAATACTTCGGGTAAATGGGTTAGATGTGGAGGAGAAACTCATGGCAACAGGGTTAAGTTTAGAAGGGAAAGCTCTAGTCTGGTTTCAGTAGAGGGAAGCTAGATACCTGATCCATTCGTGGGAGGACTTTAAGGATTGTTTATTGGAATATTTCTGAGCAATTCAGGAAGGAGACCTACTCAAGCAATTCTATGTTTTGACTCAGGAGGAGACTGCCATTAAATACAAGAAAAGATTTGAGCTATTGTCGGGACGACTGAGGGTGATTTATGAAGCAAGATTGGAGGGAAATTTCATAAAGAGCCTAAAGCCCAACATACTGGCAAATGATGGAGCTAGCTTAGATGGTAAAGGATATAAATCAGATGAAGAAGGCTAGCAGAAGTAACGCAGATGGAACATCATACCGAACAACTGCAACCACAACGATAACAAAAGCTCAAATAGTGAAATCCTAGAGGGGGGATGCGTGGGACACGAATAATGGACCATAACCAGGAGCAACACTCAAGTTCCTTACAGATAAAAAAATTCCGGAGAAGAGAGCCAAGAGGTTATGTTTTCAGTATGATGAGAAGTTTACCCTCGGACACAGTTACAAGGATCGAAAATTATAAATTCTCACCATGCATGATGATGAGGTAGAGAATGAAGAAATAGAGATAGTTGTGGGGGAGGAGGAATGCTCACACTTTTTTCCACCTTGAGGACATGGTGTCTTTTGAGGGGAAGTATTATTACGTTGGTGCTTAGTAAATAAAGCACAAGTATGAATATATTAAAGGACCATTAAACGATATGTTACTGCACCAATAAGTTCATCCACACTAAAAGAAACAAACTAATGCCTTAAAGGTTATGAAGTAGTCCTACACAAATACCAAAGATCCTAGAGAGCCCTGAATGACCCACTATAATTATAATGCTTTTCGGGGGCAATAGAGGCCAAAATGCTCTCTTTACACAAGTCATTCAATGTTGATAAGTTGATCACGTAGATAAGTGACCAAGGACACTAACTTTATCTTGCTATCTCTAATAAATCTCAGTTTCATGACAATATTTACGACATTAAAAAATTAAATTCCATTAATAGATTACCTTGCCTATAGAACAATTTCTTGGGTTGATTCCAATATTTGAGTAAGCCCATCAACCTTAATTAAATGGACCATCTTGTCTGTAGGGTGATATCATAAGACCAATAAATGGGTGGATTCCATCATTTAAATCAATAAGTCCAATATGTAACTGTCAAATCCTTTTAGAACATAGGGTCCCATATTATTTGTGGGCTCATACAAGCTGGGAGTGTCCTTATTTCGGGAGAAGTACTGAAGAAGGAAAGAATGGGGTGGAAATCTCTTCTCCAAACCTCAATTCTTAGCCTCTAGAAAGAGATAGGACCAAAGAAGAGATAATAAGCCCTCTCGCTCGAAAGTAGGCGCCTGAATTTATATCCCTATTGCCACCGGCCACTCCTCTTTGTCCTCGAAAGTAGAAGGCATCCATGGAGTTGTAGTATTTTTTGGTAACAAGAGAATGACACTTATACCTCTTTTTGTTGGAGGCATGCCCAAGAAAAATACACTTGATAGATTTGCGGTTTGGAGAATGGATGCGAACAAAGGATGCATATCCAGAAATTTTAAATGGTACAATAAAAGAGAAAGTCCTGATGTGAAGATAGGTAACCATAAACATATGAAATGATTTTTTTGAAGTTAAATAGCTAGCTTGACATTCAATTGATAAGATATATTGCAATAAGAATTGATTCCCCGCAAAAATATTTTGAAACTTGATAATTGATCTTAAGTTGAACGGGATACCTCAATGAGACCTTTGTTCTTTTTCTCAGCTATTTCATTTGTTGTGGGGTCTCAATACATGAGCTCACATAGATTAGTTCATTTTTTGAAATATATGAGCAAGGATGGACTTGAAATATTCCTTTGTATTATCAGTTTTGATGATTTAAATTTAGCTTTGAATTGTGTTTAAATCATGCCATGGAAGGTCTAGAAAATTGGACTAATTCAGATTTCTCCTTCATTACGATTACCCAAGTAGTTTTAGTTTGATCGTCAATAAATAAGACAAACCATCTAGCCTCATTTAGGGTTTTCATTTTTGAAGATCCCTATATATCATTGTGGATAATGGATAAAAAGCGCGAGTGTTTGTTTTGGGTCATGGGATAGATATCTCTAGTTTATTTGGCAAGTGATAAATCTCACATTGATAAGAATCAGAATTTTTATTGATAAACAAATGAATATACAAATTGACAATATAATTGAACTTAAGATGCCGAGACGATAATATCATAACATGACTTATTTTTCAATAGACATATACTCAACAAACATAAAAATTTGAGAGAAAAATGAAGGTGGGATTACTTATGTGTATAGAGAGAAACTTTCCTTTAGCAATTATAAGCCTTGAAGCATTTCAACACTATTAAGCACCTTCCCCGAATCTACCACTTGAAATTCACAAGATTTTGCGAGAAATCTAGTTTTACATTTAATACCATGAGTATGCTTATGTAAATTAAATTGTAGTCTAATTGTAGAACAGAAGAAAGAGTAATATGTTGAGAGAATTCTACATCTCATTTTCCAACATATTTTTAGTGTGATCTATCGACAAGTAAGACAAATCAGATGCAAAAGCCTCTTAATAATTGGCGAGAGAATGAATGTCTTCAATCATATGATTAAAAGCTTCTGAATCTACGATCCAAAGTCTAAACCTCCCAAAATTGGAGAAAAATATTACCGTAGTGTGTTACAAGGCTAGTATTGTTCTGAATTACCCATAAGAAGATTTTTCAGTACTTCAGGTTGCTCCTTACTGAATGGTTAAGCTGGCCAGTCGGATGTAGTAGCAACATTAGCCTTGTTAAAATGCTCTTTCCTTCCATGTTCAGGTTTCCATTTGCATGCTTTCCATGGACTTTCCAATATTTATCTTTAAGGTGCCCAATTTTCTTGCAACAGTCACATGTGGGATGATTTTTCTTGGGCTTTGATTCATGGGATGAATTATGGGTGTATAGGGCGGAGTTTTCAATACTCAGTGAATTTCCATGGAGTGGATTATGGGTGTCCAAGTTTCCATCTGCAGACTTTCCATGGAGTTTCCCACATTTACCTTTGAGGTGCCCAATTTTCTTGCAAAGTCACATGTGAGACGATTCTTCTTAAGCTTTGAGTCATGGAGAAATTATGGGTGTCCAGATTTTCATCTGCAGGCTTTCCATGGAGTTTCCAATATTTATCTTTGAGGTGCCTAATTTTCTTGCAATAGTCACATGTGGGACGATTTTTCTTGAGCTTTGAGTCATGGGAGGAATTATGGGTGTACAGGGCTGAGTTTTTAGTACTTATTGAACCCTCATTTCAATGCAACATTGGTTTCTTTCTGCTCTCTCCTCTCTTAACTTCAGCGAAAGCTTTGCGAGTAGATGAAAAAGACATTATTCTCATAATCCTTCCTCTCACTTCATCCAGTTCCTTAGTCTAAATAGGAATTTGATAGACCTCTTCTTCTTGATGATTGACTCAAACATCATTGCATCCTACGAACATTTCTGCACATGTATCTCAAACATATTTGAAATAAGTTTTAGAGAATAAAATACTTCAAATACTTCCATTATTCACACATAAGGTACGTATTTAGGGTAATGGTATCTCCTAATTTACAAACTTACGTAATATATCTAATCTAAGTATTGAAAGGAGAGAACTCTTAAATAAATATAAAAACATAAATATGAAGAGAATAAAAAACAAAACAAAGATTTTCGTAAGTTGTCTTCGAATTCAATCCTCTAAGAATCTTGTAGGTGGCCGCCGGTCCCACCTTCATGAATTTCCACACTAATAATTATAGTAAGAAGAGCACACAAGGTCAGTTATTGATTGAATTCAATTTAGGGAGAGGGAGCAAATGAATGGTTAGCATCAAGAAGATCACAGACCAGACTTCAATCTAATCAATTTCCTGGTCAACCAAAGCCTTCAGATTCACCTCCCTCGCCACCATGATCTCGTTTGAACTCTTTGGAGAAAATTTTCTTTCTACCTGCGTGAAATGATGCAAGATAAATATGGTAATCAAATTGTTTTTAAATTAAAATTTAAGCATGTGCATGTATAATTTTAAGATAGTTTAAATATTAATATATAATTTTAACATGCAATGTTTTGATGTAACCAAAGAAACAATTAATAAACATTTTAATAAATCACCTAAACTTAAAAAGTTTGGTTGAACCTCAGGATCTCATCTCTTTATGACGCTTGTTCTATCATTTAAAGAAAAATATCATGCCATTCAATTTGTAATTTTTCTCAAACTTTAAGCACACCATATATATATGTGTGTGTGTATGTGTGCACACATAAATGTTTTTGTGCATATACATATATCTGCCAAAGTCATTTTCCAACGAAATTATCCTCTATATTGAAATATGAGGGGTAATCCCTCGTAATTGCATAAACATTCAAACAAGAATACAACTCAAACTTCTCTCTTACAGGCATATTCTCTAGTAATCACCTCATTTGATTGATCAAGTTTTCATCCTTCTCAACGTAAGTTTTTATAGCTCAATGACTTCAATAATTCTTTTATTTGATCCCTTATATAAATGTTGGATTGTCTTGTTGAGATTTAATGCCAAGTAACTTTATCTATTTTCCTCTTCTCTCGAGAAGGAAAAAATCAATTGCGACCGCTTGAGGTAATAATTCTTTTGAATAAAATAAATGTTAAAGAGAAGTTTAGTATTTCTCGCATTAGATTTGGATTGTTGTTCTAAATTTCAAACGAAACTAAGATTAGGGGAATATGGGTATTTTTGTAATCCATGGGGAAAATAAATGTAATAGTAATTGGTTGCAAAGGTAGGATGAATGGAGTCATGGTTATAACAATGAAGGATACAAATGAAAAGATTAGATGGAACAAAAAATGACCGACAAAAATGAAGTCTAGCAATTCTAGGCAATATAACAATAATGGTTGTGACTTATAGAAATACTAAAAAAAACCCATGGCTCTCCTTTCATGACAAGAATTGGAGAAAATTAGTTGAGTATTTCATTCCATCTGTGTAGCCTTTATGTAAACCCAAGAGAGCAATTAATAGTAAAAAAGTGAAATCAATAAATAAGGTTTACATAATAATTACAATAGACTACAGATTTATACTTGTCCACACATTAATTAGGTGACAAAAATGATCCGACAAATCATTAAAATTGCAATAAAGTGAATAAGCTAAAAGAGTATTGTACTTGGTGGGACATTAATAGACTCAAAATTGAAGGAGACGGAATTAATGGAGGCGAAATTGATGGAGATTAATTTTTCCATTGAAACTCTTCCTCAAATGATCTTATCCTTAGCTTGAAACTCTAGGTGTAAGTGAGCCAAGCCAACTCATGAGCTGGCTCGGGCCCGACTTGATCAGTAGCTCGTGATCTGAGCTCCATGAGCTAATAAGCCAAAGCTCAAGCCAACCCCGACTCGGCTCCATAGCTCGTGAGTTGGCTCGTTTAAAAGAATTAATATAAAATATATTCAAAATATAATAAAATTCAAGAATTTATCTTTAGAATATTAACTGTTTAATAAATACCATTTTAAATTTTATATCAAATAATTTTTATTATTTATCTACTAGGCATTCATTCTATTTGTCATTTTATTATAATAGTAGTTTGAATTAATATTAGTTTCTCTCTTTTATATTAATCAAGTCGGCCCGTGAACTAGCTCAAACTCATTGAACAAATATCAAGTTCGAGCTCAAATTCGATTAATTAACCAAGCTCAAGCTTAAGCTGAGGGCGGCTCGAGCTTGATTCAACGCATTTACACCCCTACTTCGAAACTCATTCAACTCAAAAAACATTAGTTAGAAAGACTTAACACTTTTATAAGAAGAAATACTATATAATTTTATACGTGTTACTTAAAATAGTCATTCTTATAGCAACAAAACTCAACCTAAACATATGAGCTCAAAGGATCAGTATGACATTCAGATTTACTAAGATCACATTAGCTTCCACTTTTTTAAAAAGAACTCATAAAATATCTACGGATACTATCTCCAATTTTATCTTTCTCTCTCTTTATTTGTTAGGCTTCTTTTGTAAATACTAGTAAGGTTTTGGTTTTGCCAATAGATAGATTTTGATCCAATAAGTCAATTATTTTAGTGAAATTATTCGTAATTACAAATCATATGCAATTTTAATAAGACCAAAAGCCATATGACACTAAGTTTATTAAATTTTGAATCCATCACCAAAACATGTCCTTATCAAGGTTGTATATTCATAAGTGAAAATATAATATTAGAGGGTTGACAAAATAGTTCAGGACAAATAAATTTAAAACTTACTCAAATGTTGATAAGCATAAAATCTTATCTTATATCAATCTGTCGCAAGGGTTGTTAATAGACAAGAAGAAATAATATCAAATAAGATAGTAAATGCTATAAATTTGGAGTTAAAAATACTAGATTAAATATGATTAAATCTTAGTAAAATCTTTGATGGATATTTTTAATATTTATGATTTAAATGAAAGAGAACAAGAGGAATAAAAAGTAGTATAAATCACTTAAATCTTAGTTTCTCTGAACTTTTTAAACATGAATTTATCCTAAAATAGGAAGAAAATAAAATTTAAAAAACAATAAGATTTATGTGACTCAAAAAATTGTTTAACAAACTTTAGCCTAAATCTTGAATAAATATTGGCTAAATTTTGCAACCAAATAGTCCCTCAACGTACTATTATTATGATTCTACTCAATATTTAGAATTGCACGGTTAGATATTTAGGCATTTTCTGCTCATAATGCGAGGCACAAGCTTCGAGACGTTTTAAGACGTAAGTCTCACAGTTTGAAAATTGTGTAAAATCAATATAAAAAGAAAAAAAATAATACATTACAATTATAAATTATGAATATATTAAAGATAGATGTATTAATATCTCGATATAGTAGAAGTGACAAATTATGTTTATACCAAATAATAAATTGCGAAAGCCGCAAAATATATTGTAACAACTTTCACATGGTGAACGTTTAATGTAAACATCAACTAATAAAATTAACATAAAGCATGAAATGGAAAAAGTATAAAATATCAAAGTAAAACATAAGATGAGTTTAGCATAATAGATTTCTCTCATTCTTATCGTTCAATACATAAATATCAATAGATCTAAATAAAAATATAATAAATAATTAAAATTAAAAATTCTTAGCAGCCTCAACACTTAAGGGATCTTCAATGGAGTCACCATCATAACGAGTAACTTTCTCCCCTACTTCTTCCTCAGTTGAATCTAAGTTCTTCCATTCTTCTTCTTCAACCTCAATCATCTTTCTCTTCTTTATTCAATAATAATCAATAAAAAATAAATATTAATTAAATTTTAAAATAATTTTAAATATTTAAATTTTCACAAATATTTTTTCATTTTATTTCTTATTGTCTTGTGCTCAATTTGCTAGTCTTATTTATGTTTTCATCAAAAGAAATTAACATCCAAGTTTTTTGTTGTAACTCAGATTATGTACCCCATTATTATCATCTACAAATCACTCATAATTTGATGGTATATTTTCACATAGTAGGGGATCCTCATCATCCTTCAAATTATTTCTCTTTAAATTTTTATCCTTAAATTTTTTGTCGTTTATGATGTACACCAAAAAATTCAGTTTAAGCCCATCAGATGATTTCTTCTTTTGTATGAACTTGATTATGTGTGCTTAAATTATGATCACATCCAGATGAATTAGAAGCATTTAAGTCATAATCCTTTAAAAACAAAATATTATAGTACTAGACCGTCATCACCAAATTTGATCCACTATTCAATTATATTTGAAAAAAACCCATATAATAAGAATTTGAAATTTTAGAATTAGAGATTTTTTCTTTATTTTAATGAACACACTAAATATTAAAAATTATTTGGAGAATGTTTTATGATAGTATCTTTAATTTGTTATAGCTCACAAAATTTTTTATGATTCCTAAATGGAATAAGTTGCATAAAAACAGTTGTCCTCTCAATTAGATCAGCAATTAATCCATCCATATAATGGTATAACTCTAATTTGATCTCAAAATTTGCAAATTTGCCCTCAACATATTGAAATTGAGGGTTAATGAAATATCTAGTAATATGCAAATGATGGTGAAGCAGAGGATCACATTTCTCATAAATGATACAAATCTCTCTATAATGAAAATTTTCTCCTAAGTTACAGTCTATTAACTCCTTGGTCTCATTCATTGCATTATAAATAAAGCTCATGGCTGACTTTTTCTTCGCATCCACCAACCTCAAAACTTGCATATGTTCTATTAGATCAAAATATTTTACTTACTTTTTGATTTCAATTTTCTCTGCTCTTTTTACCCATGCTTAATTAAGCTAATAAAGGGATGAGAACATTACTTCCAAAAGTTGCCTGACTTCTAACATTTTCTGTAGAGTAAAATAAATTATAGCATATTTTATAGCATTAAGGCGACTAGTTATTTCTTAGAAAGCTTTATCATCAAAGACAATACTCATAAATGATTATAAATAAATGTATTAATCCTCTTATCTTTGTTCAAGGTATTTTTATGACAGGATAAGTCAACAAATTTCTTTAAAATCGGGTCTATACAGTGTGCAACACAAAGTTTCTAATATATATAATTTTTCTACTCCATCAACTTATTCCCACCAATCCTATAAGAATTAGCATTCTTTATCACAACTTAGACCACAAAATGCTCTCCAAGCTCCTATATCACTCCATCAAATGGTCCCAAAATATACTCTGCATCTTTAATTTGAGATGCTTCTATAGATTTTATAAAAATTATGTCACAAGGAATACCTACCAAAACAATACTCAAACTTCTATTTTATATGTATGCCACCCATCAGACATAAGTTCAGGTCCTTTTAATCTCCTTTAAGAATTTTTCTATATTACTCAGCTCCTAATTCAATATTCATGTCCTCAAATCATATATGAACGAGGGTTTCAAGCCTCTGTCATAAGCACATATTGAACATATCTTATTGAAGAAAAAGATGATTGACACATTGAATGGAACAACATTCTCATAAAAAAAATCTCCCAATATCCAAGCATAAATGTTTGTGTGCCCCTATAATATGCGCTAGAGATATTTTTTTCTGCTACAGTTGCACCCTCTGCATAACTCATGACATCAACTCCATATACCATATAGTGATCTTGACGGCGTCTTGTACATCTACAGAATATTAATTGTAAAGATGATAAGTGCTTAGCACTATGCTAACTCTTGTAGTAAGAGCTGATATCAATTTTATCATCAAATTGTTTCTATCAAGATGCATTGATATGGCCAACTTAGTCATATATGATCGGATCTTTTCTTTCATTGTTTTTGCAATTTTAGTACACTTTCAACATTTTTATTTGAGTCGTGGAGGTGTTCCTTCCTCCTTGTAACACCTTCTTTAATAGCATTTTGACAAATAAACATGTCTTATCATTGCATCCAATGTCAACTTACGTTTTGTTTCGATGTTGAAACCGTTAGAAGGCTTATTGTGAATTTATTCTTATCTCTAATAATTTATTATAAAATACTAGAATAAAAAATTTATTTCAAAATAAAAATAAATTTGAACCCATGCAAATATTAAAATGATCATAATAATAATAATAAGATTTAGAGTTATTAAAACTTTTAAAACCTCATGAAACTTGGAATGGGACTATTTGGTAAAAGAGGGAACAACGACAACAATAATAATGATAATAACAATAGCGGGCAGAGACAAGTGGTGTTAGAAGTAGCATGCAGCGACAAAGTTGGTAGAAAATAGCAACAACGATGACAATGCTAGGGAGAACTAACTTATGTATGTAAGAGTAAATCTTGTGCAGTAAGGGGCGAAGGAAGGCAATGCCAGTTATAGAAGCAGGAGACAAAGAAAGCAGAAGCAGCAAACGAAGGTAGTAGAAGGATCAGGCAGAGGGAGCAGAAGCAATAGGCGGCGGCGTCAGCAACGCTGGGATGGCTGAGTAGGATGTCGTCAAGATAGGGGAGATCTTGCACGAGAAGGAGTGGGTCTAGCATGGGGTGTGGTGCATGGTTAAGGTGTTGAAGCACTTAATATAGAAAAAAACAATGAATGAGACGTGCCCCTCAATCTAATTGTGGGGATATGTAAATGTAAGGTGTGCCTCTCACGCGTGTTAGATCATGATTTGTTTGTAGATTCACCTCACAGAGAACACAGATAACAATCCAAAGGAATGTCAGTGCCTTGCAATCTCTTAGAATTCTCTCTTTTTTTTGTAGTGATTACACTTATTTACAAAGGATTTAGCATACTCAGTAAAAATAATGCATTAATAACACAAGAATCTCACTAGATATCATTTCTATTTAATGTGCACATCATAATAAAATATTTCTTATAAAGTTTGGCCTCAATAACTGCCTCTCATAAAAGTAGCTTTTATGGTGTTTCACCTTCGGTAACGATCCTGTCAGTTTGGTCGGCCTTGAATCGAGTTAATGAGATCCTTCCAGTCCCCCTGAAGAGCTTTATTGTTGAACTCACTTGTAAGAGCTTGGCAGTGTTTATCTTCTAGAAGAATTTAACCAAGTTGCCATGGTTGAATAATAGAGGTTGTTAATTTTGGGCTAACTATTTGTCAGATTTTTCAGTCGAATTATTTGGTTGGATTAATCTGACAAACATATCTCGTCAGCACTGAGAGCTCACTAACTTCACAACTTGAATTCAACCCAAGAGTTTTCGAGCATATAGTCTAAGTTGCTCGAGGCAATCGCCTCAATGCGATTTTGGGCTCATTTGCATTGAGGCACACCTCAAATTGCACAAATTTAAATAGTGATTCTACTAATAAGTGCAATATAAACAAGGCAAAAAATAGTAAGACAAAATAGTATTCTTTTAGGTTAAATTTTCATCTAAACATACAATAAAAGAAAGGCATGTTCATGCTATAAGAACAAAAAGTAAATATCAAAGAAGCACACCTCTTACCTGGATGGGCCGATAAACCAACATAAGAAATCAGAACTATTGTCTTTCTCTTTAGCTAGCTACCAATCAAGAAAGCAACGGAAGATCAAGATCCCAGAAATTTAACCTCAAGCTGCTCCATCCTCCTCGCTAGCTCATGCTTGCCACAATGCCTCAACCCCTCCACTACAATACCAAAACTCTGATACCTCGGCTTCAGCCCCATCTCAGTCATCTCCAACAAAAAATTTGCAGCTTCCACCACCCTCCCTCCCCTCACACACATTTTCACAAGCATGGTGTATACGGGACGGTTTGGCGGATGACCCCTCATCTTCATGTCGTTAAAGAACGAGAAGGCATCGGAAAACCTCCCAGCACGACACATAGCTTTGATAATGGCGGCGTAAAGACTCGGGAACGGACGATGCCCATCCTCCATTGCACAGTTTAAGAGTCTGAATGCCTCGTCGATCTTCCCAGCCTTCGATACCGCTGGTATTAATGCCTTGTAAGTCGATATATCTGCGCAGAGGCCGAGCTCGTTTGCATCCTGGAGGAGATCAACGCAGAAATCGATTTCCGCAGCGTCGCAGAGAGCATCGAGGAGGGAATTGAAGGTGGAGACATCAGGTAGAAGGCCCTCCTTCGTCAATCGAAGAACAATACGTTTTGCGGACTCCAAATGGCCGGCGCGCACGAGACCGTCGATGAGAATATCGCGGCCGCGAACAGGAGGCGAGAAGCCTCGCCTGGCCATCTCCTCCAGAAAATCCTGTGCCTCGCGGAGTTTACCGGCGGCGCACCATGCGTCGACGAGGATAGAGAAGGTTTGGCGGTCGGGGGAGACGGATTTGCGGTGCATTCGGCGGACGAGGGCGTACGCGCCATGAAAGTTGCCAGCTCGGCAAAGAGCGGAGAGGAGGGAGTTGTAGACCTCGGTGGTCTGGGGACAAGAGAACTTGGGCATGCGGTTGAAGATATCGACGGCGAGGTCCGGCAGACAAGCATCGGCATAGGAGGAGATGACGGCGGCGAAGGTGGATGAGGAAAGCGGTAGTGAAAGGGATCGCATGTCGGCCGCGAGGCGCCATAGATGGGGGAAGTGGCGGTGACGGCCGAGAGCAAGGATGAGAGCGTCGAACTCGGCAGAAGAAGGAGAGTAGGAGGATCGGGAGCGAGACCATGCGAAGAAGCGAAGAGCTTGAAGGGGGTGGGAGCCGGCGGTAGCGCGAAGGACGCGGAGGACGATATCGGGTGTGATAGTGGGTAAACGAAGACGATTGAGGGTGCGTTCCAAGTAGAAGTCTCGCCGGACGATGTTGGAGATGTGGTGAATGGCGGCGAAGTAGTCGTCGCGCGGCGGCGATGCGGGTGGAATGGGAAGGGAGAGGTAACTCAGTTTATGGGTTTCGTTGAGGCGAATGGGAGGAAGAAAGAGAGGAGCGAGGCTGCTACCGCGGCGGAGGGCGAAGCCGGCGAGGGAGTGGAGCATCGCATAGCTGCGGCGGTGATGCAGGCAGAAAGTCGTTTTTATATGCTTAACATTCAAAATATTAGTATTTATATAATTAACGACTAAGTTTTATTATTTATACATTTAGCACTTAAAATTAGTGTTACATTAAAATTTCCATAGAAACTTCAAAGTTAAGAATATTCATACAATTAGGTTCTTTTATATGCTACGTTAATCATCTTAAAATGATACTTAAAGTGTGACGAGCGATTATTTTGTGCAGACAGCGCATGCAATTTGCGTTCGTTGTCCAATAAAATATTAAAAAAAAAAAAATTCAAGTGAGGTCTACTGACATACACTTTTGGTAAAGGAAATATTTTGATTAGTTAACCGCAAGCATTTCTGCTTGCGGTGAACGTATGCAATAATTTTTCAAGTGTAACAGCTCGAACTCTCACTCATCAAATATTGTCTGTTTTGGTTTAGTGGTCTCACAATTTTGTTCCATTGGTGTAACTTCTTAGGAGATCAACATCTTACAAGTGCTCAGCACAATCACAAGTAATATCAAGGGGTTTCGCACAGAGTGCAGTCCTTGAATGAATATCATATTAACTAATAATTAAAAAAAAAAGCTTAAAATTCAAATTAATATGAGAAAATAGCTTTAAAAGTAAGTTTATCATGCAAATAATCATTGTTATATATGCTTTGATAAATTAGGTTTTGCCACTCAATGTATTCATCATTCCTAGTTTTAGCTTTATCACAATAAAGCTATTTTCATCTACTTTGTTTAAGTTAATTTTTTCATAATTTAATTGTTACCATCATACTTATAACTAGTCACAATTTTCTTGTTTGTAACAAGATAAAACTTTTCACTCCAAATTATTAAAAAAAAAAACATTATTTAAATTATTTTATAAGAAAAAATGTTATGATGCTCATAATAATCTTTAATATAAACCCATATGAATGCTCTTAAAAAATTTAATTGTTTCTATCCATGAAAGGCCTAAGATCTTCCAAAAAGTAGTTGGAGTCACAACATAGTGCCAAATGCAATTGAGTTATTTTACAAATATAGCCAAATATTAAAAATCATGAATAAAGAATAATCTATTAATAATTTAACGATATGATATGAAAACTATTTTGGCAAAAAATACACTATTAATGTTGCATAAATATGAAAGTTAATATAAGATAAAATGTTACAAAGATAAATACAAGAAATTGGATGTTATACATGTAAATACATAAGAATTGAATGATTGGCAAGCTAATTTCCCTTCATTTTATCAAGGACCACATGAAATGTTCACATAATAAATGAAATGTGTGAAATAACAAAATTAGGCTCAAGGGAGTGCAATTAACTTGCTAAGTAAAATGATAAGACATTACTCAACTACATTACCATACAAAAGATAATTTCATCATGTGGATCACCACATGAACATTTGTTGATAACATAATAGAAACAATGTGCAATATATGTCCTAACATTAAAAAAAATGCTACTATTTTCATTTATTGTGCCTTGCCACGAAAAAACACAAAAAAAATGCATTATGTTATGCTGTGTAATAACATACTATTTGGTGCCATTGATATTTATGTGTTAGAAGTAGAAAACAAGAAGACCAAAAGCACAGCATCACTTTTCCATTGCATGATGGTTCTCAGTTCTGATTAAAGTTACAGCTCCTCATTTCCTTCGGTTGATTGTTTGGAACTTGAAGTTTTTCCATTGACAGCCATGAGTTCAGTATCAAAGATAAGTGTGGCACCTCCTGCAAAATTACAGAAACATTTCAGAAGAATTCCAGGATTATTGCATCTTGAACCCAGAATACTTCAAAAATTACAATCTGTTCAGGTTGTTTCTTCAGCTTCATTACCTGGGATCTTTGGAAGAGAACCTTGGGCTCCATAACCGAGCTTCGCAGGTATCTTCAGCTTCCTTTTCTCACCGACGCACATTCCCAGAAGCCCCTGGTCCCATCCTGTAAAATACGTTGCGTTGTTAACTAGCAGAAGTTGCACTAGAAATTACATAATGTTTTATACATTTGTATAATGTGCACAATATCACTAATAATCCACTAATTTAACCCCACAGCCATGTTATTGAAGTTTTATCTAAAACACCATTGTTTATTACAAAAATTATATCCATAGGGTGAAATGCATGTTTTGTTATTGCAAAAATCAGAGTAGCACTTGTTTTGCAAATTCTTTCAACTTTCTGCAAACACCCAATCAAGAAAATAATAGCAAAACATTTACCTTTGATCACTTGACCCTTCCCAAGCTCAAACTCAATTGGCTCACCTCTTTCATAGCTGGAGTCAAATATGTTACCGTTAGTAAGCATTCCCTGTAACATGAATTATTTATATGAGTAGGAGGTTAAGTTAACAAAGCCATAAATAATCGACTTGCATAATTAACATTATTTATAAGGTCATTTTGTTAAAATTTCTCTTGAACCTAGTTAAATTAACATATTTATGGCAGTAAAAAATTCTAATTTCTAAAGTCTTGCACATATGGAAAAAGCTATCCTTCCGCACCACTGAAAGTACCAGAAAAGTTCAAATCATAAAATTACATAGCATGTGTTTAGTCCAAGAATTTAAGAATAAAAGATTGCGACATTACTTACACGATAATGCACTTTAACCATATCACCTTTGTGAGATTGAATGCTACAAACCTCTGGCTTGTACTACAAAAAAAAATAAATAAATAATAAGAATGGAAGACTTACATGCATGATGCATGCCACTCAATTTTTATGTATTTACATATGCAGCACCCAAACTTCAATTTTTACATATATGCTACCTTATTTAAGCATGAAAGATAATTTCACTTTCTAAAAGTTAAATAGTCGTATTTTAATATTATATAAAAGATTCAGGCGGTATAAATGTAAAAATCAAATTTTAGGTGTTAGATATATAAATACAAAAAAATTAGGTATGTAAATGCTCCAGTAAAAAAACAATAGAACCACTTTAAGAAATAGCGACCTCTTTAAGCAAGCTGGCGATCGAGGGCTTCCAAATGAATTATAATATAGATCCCTATGCTCCCACATTGAAAGAAAACACGTTAATGATGCATCTCTTTGCAAGCATGAGCTCACTACAGTTTTTGGCTCCTCATTTATACTTCTCGAGTCCCATAAGTTAATAAAAATTATAAACATGTTCTACCATTAGCCATCCTAACAACTAAATGGCAAACATTCTCTTTATACATGGCATCATAGACATTGTTTTTCAGAGGTATATAGTTTTAATAAACTAAAGAGCTTTTTCTTCAGACTTTTCTCTTCAAATATCTTTAATATTTCAGTACTCTTTACGCTTGCTACAAGCTAGCCTGATTAAAGTTAGACATGGTTGTTTAAATTTTGTTTCGATGCAAAAGTCAATCAAACTTTCATCAATTTAAACCTTGGAAGGCAAATTCTTAGTCAAACATACATACATGCATCCATACTTATTTAGTATATATAAATGCATATTGTAAATATGCATATAAATATAAGTAAACATGTATTCAAACAACATACACAATATGACTTTGAGCTATTTCAATTAAATAAAGGTCAAACTTGTTTCAAATTTGATTCATGTTGATGCAAGTTTGAGTCGAGTGAAAAAAAATGATTAGATTATTGAATGATCCTTGATCTACAAATTAAATGTGCATCCCTAATTAAGAAGTTGCATGAATAAAAAAACCAAAAACCATGTTTAAAATAACGTTTTTCAGGACATTCCTTTATGAAAAATTTCCTAATAAAACATCTGTCACATTAAAAATCTTCAATTTCCTTTTGTAAGTAGTCATTGCTTGACGTGCATCATTTTGGCTAACAGATATTGCATACGGCATTAAACAAAGATAAAGGTGACGAGACTGAATTTTTTGTTATCGCAACTTTTAAAAAATGTTCCTCACTTTTCATAAGAGAGAAAGAGACAAATATGTAACACAGTTTACATGCAAAAAAATGTAGTATAATGATCACTCTAGTCATTTATTACATTTGGATCAGAGTATCAATAGTTTCAGTTATCGTTACATAGTTCAAACATTAGATTTTCCTCAGAAAAGCCATGAAGTGTTGAAGAGCAATTTGATTTATTTCTCCAAAAGCTTAAACAATAAAGAAAAAAATATTTTTAATTGGACTGCATAAATTTTTCAGATCAAATTTGCATATATTCAATATCATTTTGGAAGCAAATATGATATTACGAGGCCGATGCTCTCAACAAACAATAGCATTATTACATTTAGCAATAGCTACGGCCTGTATTGACTCCTTTGATAGTAAATAACTACGTTATTAGTAGTTGACTCGTTTTAAATGGCCAAAAAATTATACGAGTTAGTTCTTTAGGATCGTTAGCATCTGTAGTAAATTAATCAACTTAAGAGAATATAAATAAAACCACATCGAACTGCAACAATTGTGAAGATTTTAATGGGTGCCAATATTTAGTTACAAGCTTACAATAAAATGCTTGATAGGTCACTCTTAGATATTTTTGTTTTACATGGAAAAGATTGTTAAAGAGTGTGACGCGCTTCAAGCAATCATAAAGAAAAAAAATTAAACCAAGCAAAGCGTTTTAAAAAAGAGGGACCAATAGTACAAACAATTGTATTATAATTATGTTGTTTAAATGAGGTGGCCTTTTGAGAGACCTTTGTGTGGAACATTTGAAAGCGTCACGGTGGCTGGCTATGTACCTCCCAAAAGAGGATAAAACTCGACATGATTCATATGTTTAGGGTCTATAGCCTTTTATTATGCCACCTGATTGACAAAATATAACATGTAAAACGAAAAATAGAGATTTTAAATTGTTTTTGGAAATTGGCCAGGTTGTATGTTGTTATGAGAATTCCAAAAGTATTTGGAAATGTAGCCAAGATGCTTCATGTGTGGTAGTCAAGATATGTATAAGCTTCGCATGAACTAGTCTAGACCTTTATATGCGTATACCATAACAATAACAAAAACAAGACTTTATCCTACTAAGTGGG